AAAAAAAATTACTCGTTTGCAAGTTCAGTAGGCCTCTCAATTCCCCCAGAAGTGCGAAATTACCAATGAGGAAGAAGAATTTCGAACTTTCAGACTGCAAATGATTATCCTGCAGTAACCTGTGTTCTGCAGCAGTCTGGGCCCTCGAAACGGAGCGCAGACGACGCAGGCCAAACTGGGCCTGCGTCAGGCAGTGTGACCACACGCTGCCCGTGGGAAGTCAAAAGTCTAAGTCAACTGTCAGGTCAAAGGTACTGCGCCCAGGCCCTTGGTCGGATACACTCACTTGTTGTGCGCAGGTACCCAGACAGCATCAAGGAGAAGGAATTCGGTTTCAGGCCAATCTGGGCCGTCATTTGCATTGAGATCTTGACGGCTGAGGGATGCAGCATCCGGGGTCCAGACCCCGCATCCAAGCTACATAAGCGCTGACTTCCTGACTTTGACATTCATTCGGTCTTGCGTGAATGCTGACTTCACACGTTGACGACAACGCCGGCTCAACGATGCGATGCTGGCTTTGCGCTGGCACTTGGTACGGCTACACGCTGCTGGCTCGACATGGTGGCTGGCTGGCTACTGTCTTCAGGGCATGTTGACGTGGCAGCTGCCACGCGTTGCTGGTGACGTGACCGCTGCCACGTGTACTGTTGCTGACGTGGCTGGGCTACGTGACTGGCACTGCTGTTCTGATTCATCGTCACTCGGGAGGAGATCGTAGACACGGACCTGGTTATCTTGAGGTCAACATTGCTCCAGTACGCTGATGAGAGACTGATCGATGTGCCACGTGGCACATTGTAATAGAACTTCAGATGTGCGTTCAGACTATTGATTATTTGAGGTGGTGATCGAGGAGGGAGTCTGAAGCAGAAGTGGGCATTTGTCTTTTATTCTTCTTCTAAGTCTAATCTCCCTCCTCTCTCCTTCGTCTGTGTATGATTCTCCCATCTCATTATATCTGGACACGATTATGATTATTGATAATCATCAGCAGGTTGATATTCATCTGGGCTTGAATTGTTGACAAGTGTCTTCACGATCTGGGTTCATTGCAATCCGATAAATTCCAAAAATAAAATACAAAAAAATTCGGAATTACTTAGATGAGAGTACGCGCAATTTGGAAAATGATAACTGCAAGAGGGATTGCCCGTACCGTTTTCAAATCTCGAAAAAAGAATTTCGGAAATTAAAAAAATATTTCGGATTTCCAAATAACGGGAAATTGCAAAAGGAAAATCGAAATTTTCGAAAAAAAATATTCCGGATTTCCAACAACGAAATTTCGAATTTTCAGAAAAACGAAAACGGAAATTTCAGGTGTTGCGCTATTGCGATTTTCCACAACAGAAATAGCGGGAAAACAAAATCCAAGAATTTTTTTTGTTTTTTGATTTTCGGCAGTTAGGTCAAAATCGTGATTTTGGTAGCTAATTAGTGTGCTCTAATCAATCAACCAATCAATCAAGACTAATCAACTAATTAGTCCCCACACACGTGTCAGATCAGGTTGTCCTGATGCACGTGCGGTGTTCCGATACCAACTGTTACATGCCCAGTTGGGCAATGTATGTATAGCCAAGGATCCGCAGTGTGATAAAAAGGACTGAATGGACAATGCGGTGTTAGTGAAATCCCAACAAGCAATGTACATCCTGATACGTACAAAATGGCACCTCGTAGCGCAGTGGAAGACTTAGATATAAGCCCTGATCTGACTGGGACTGACCTCTCTCACGTAGTACAAGACAGCGCAGCGGAATGCTAGAATACCAATGACTAGCCCAATCAATGTCGCAATGCAGACCAAAAATACATCATCCTCATCACAAGGTGTGAAGGGGGCCTGGCGCTACACACAGGAAGAATGCGACAGGTCCAGACCATACACAGACGAAGAGGAGGGGATCAGACGAAGAAGAGGGGGAAGATGGGAATGTCGTCAACACCAAGTCTTCAGTACAAGTCCCAGATAATCCCTCGTCAAATGTCTGAAGCCCAATGTCGAGTCTGGATCCAAATGTCACCAATCTGTCTCTCTCATAGTCTGCTGATGCAGTGAAGTCAGGTAGCGAGAGGGTGAGGGGGAGATGGTGGACTGAGAAGAGGAAGAAGAAGAACTCTCTCTCTCTCTCTCTCTCTCTCTCTCTCTCTCTCTCTCTCTCTCTCTCTCTCTCTCTCTCTCTCTCTCTCTCTCTCATGTGCCAGGTACTAACCTGTGAATGGCGCTGTGCTGCAGGTACCTCGACGACGAGCTATGGTGCTGCAGGTAAGTCTCCCTGGCCTCCGCCCAATCTCTATCTCTCTCCAGTGATACTCTAGGTCCTAATAGCGCCCAACACTACTACTACTACAGCAGCGCTCCTCCAGAGTCTGCGGATCCTGAAGACTACCTCCTGCCTCCTGAACTGCATGTGAAGTGCCTGGGAAGTCCCTATGAACTACCTGCAGCCTGCAGGGCGGGCCAGTCTTATATAGTGCTGGGCCGTCCAGGAGGCTGCTCTTGCCAATGCCAAAACGTGCCAGACCCTGGTCCCTGGCGTTGAAGTTCAAACAAAGGTTGTCTTGAAAACAGGCCCAAAATGGCCTGTGCTAAAACCCTTGTCTGGTGCCTAAGTTGCAGGGCAGGTCGATCTTATGAGGGCCTGAAAATAGCCCTCCGTTTCAGGCTGAAAAGACTCAGGGCCTGGAGGGCCCTGTTTTAGGCTGAAACGACACAGGGCCYGTAGGCCSTTGTTTTCAGGCTTTCAGGCTGAAACGACACAGGGCCTGTAGGCCCTTGTTTTCAGGCTTTCAGGCTGAAACGACCCAGGGCCTGAAAATGGCCCTCGTTTGCAGGCGCAGCATGTAACAGTCTTCCTCTGCCAACAGGCTTAGGAACAGGCCGATCTTGATGATCCATAATGTCGCCAACGTCCATGTGCCCATCCATTGTTGGGGGCAGCATTGATCTCCTCGATGTGAATCTATCACTCTCAGCGAAAGGTGCAAGCTTGGAAGCGTGGAAAACAGGGTAAGTGCGCAGGTGACCAGGGATTCGAATCACATAGGAGGGACCGTCTGGATCACTACGCACGATATCCAAGACTTTCCAAGAACCAAAGTACTGAGGCATTAGCTTCCTAGAGATGCCAAATTCCTGTCCTAAGTCACTGGCCTTAACCCAGACTCGTTCGCCTACCTGAAATGTGGATTGTCGTCTGTGTTTATTCGAAGATGCTATCATAGCTGCTTGAGCTTTCTTGATGTGCTTGACAGCCTGCTGCAACAGATTCTGACACTGGACACTGAATTTAATGGTACCAGGCGTTGCAGTTGGTCGGCTTTTAGGGAGGAGAAAATCTAACGCTGATCTAGGCCTCCAACCCAAGTGCAGCTCATTGGGAGAGACACCGGTGGTGCTGTGAACTGCGTTGTTGTACAGGTTGGCGATGAGTGGAAGTTTCTCATCCGAGTCCTCCTGGCTGGGCTTGATGTAATGCCGCAGCAGGTGCTGTACCACACGGTTCATTTGCTCCGTTTGGCCATTGGCTTCGGGATGATTGGAGTTGGCTGCCCATCTGTTCCGCAGCGTTCTTCCAGATTTTGCTTGTGAAACGGACATCTCTGACTAATAATTGACTTGGGAAGTCCGGAATCACGCACCCAGTTATCCATGAATAACTTGATGACGTGCTCAGTCATTGCAGTCCCTGGCATGGCAACTAACCTAGCGTACTTGGTGAACCGGTCTACTATGACAAAAAATATGTCTCTTGCCACTCTTGCTGGTCACGAGGGTATCCATGAAGTCCATGGAAACGCTCTGGCCTGGGCCAGCAGGAATGGGCAAGGGCTTGATTAACCCAAGCGGTGCTTGAGTTCTTGGCTTGTCCTGTCCACAGACTTGACAATCCTGTACGTAACGTTTCACATCATCAAGCATAGAGGGCCACCAAAAAGGCTGTACCAAGTTAGCACTAGTCTTCTTATAACCGAAGTGTCCTGTTGCATCTTGACACTACGCAAAGACTCGCTAGACGGCACACACAACCTTTTATTCCCTGCCTTCTCAAGAAAGAGTAACCCGTCCACAACCACAAACTCCTCAGAGGTAGCTTTGTCCTTAGCCTCGTGTTTGCGGATGATGTCCATCATCATGTAATCTTCCTTGTAGGCATCCACAATGGA